CAGCCAACAACTTATCAAGTCAGAATATAGAGAACTATATTGCAATATGTGTTTTAGAATGTTTCCAAGTCTAATTTCAGAGGACAGGATATCCTACAAGCAAAGAAGACTTTCTGGTAACTTTAGTTTATAATCAAGTAAAATCTCCCCTACTCTCATCCTCATGATTGTCCTTCTAAAAATACTAAAATTCCAAGTTTCCAGGTCACTTTTTATACAAAGTTAAACATAAAAGCCACAAAATGTTTAACTGTATATATGCTGTACCATTATTCTCAAAAATATTTTTCTGGGATTGCTTTTCTTCCGTTCTTAATGTTTAGTCACCACTAAATGTTAGCTTGTTTAGCCTTGCCTATGGTTTCATACTGAAGTAATTTCAGTTTAAATAAAGTTCAAATATGCATTTTATTGCTAGTTCAAGTTTAATTAATAAAATCTAAATCTCTGAGGCATACATTAGGTAATTTGTGTGTTATTCCCTAACCCCCAACGTTTAGACCCTGCCCCACCACAATAGGTTCTGTTTCAATACAACCTTTTATATAGTTGTGTACATATTAAGGCACTAAATTTTCCAAATGTCTTAATGACTATTTCAAGATACACATACTTTCCTGACTGATGGTCAAACTTGGCTTATAATACCAGAAAAAAAAAAAAAAAAGCTTCTTAAAGCTTGACAGAGTTTCTCTTCAAAAAGTAATGTCAGTCTTGAATTTAACAGACTTAATCATCTGAAAGCCAATAAACTGATCCTGAATAATGTATTTTAGCATTTAGTAAGCTGACATAGCTATAGATCTCAAGATATATTTTCTTTCTAAATTAACCAATAAGCCAAGAATAAAAGTTTCATTTTTCTGTGAACTGAACATTAATGCATAGGTGTTATATATAACATTGTATAATGAGAATAAAGATAACAAACAATTAGCATTCAACATCAAGATTTAAAGTAATTTACATCCTAAGGGCACATGTGCTCACCACAGAGAGACAGAAAAACAGAGAGGGGAGAAGGGGAGGAAGCACCTCTCAGTGGGTGTGGTCATGCCACCGTCCCTTATGTTCCCTTTCTCCATCCTGGTTGGATTTGGGACACACATGTACACCTGCCCGTGTTTTTCAAGCTGCTGGGGCCAGATTCCAACCACAGTCAGCCATATGAGGTCCAGTTCCCTTAACTACTAGGCTATGGAGTCAGCCCCAAAACACCTATTTTTAACAATAAAATAAACAGTTTTATTTAAATATATATTCAGGTGAGTTTACAGGTCAAACACACATGGTTTTCTGAAGTTTTCAAATCACCCCACACATGTAACCAGTACTCCTATCAATGCACAGAACATAAAAAAGCCATATTTTTGACATCTTTTTATTCTTGAATCTAGAAAGATTTGATATAAAAATTTTGATGTGAATTTTGTTTTTCCATTCTCAAAATATACTTTGTACAAAGGAATTAACAAAGGCCATTATCCACGCTACCAAAAATCAGGAGTTTTCAGTGACAAAATATTGAGTTGTCAGGAAATTCATGATATATTTTCTGATTTTCTATGCAAAAATGTGTTATGACTTTCTCAATGACCCATATTTTATATAAATGTTTGAGTTTCTTTATTTTTTACTGTTAATTTTATAACGTTCCTTTTTCAAAATTACTTTATAATAATTCTTTCTTGGCACGGTTTTACTAACTGTTGAAGAATAAACATGAATTGCCTTGGTAAATCTTCCACTGTGTTTCATTTATGTATTAAACTTCCGAATGGTACAACACACCTCACAAGAGTGTTCTTTCTTTTCCTGTTGTTATGGATTCAGTGGCACACATGTCACTTCTTAGCGCGGCATCCATTGCACTTCAATGCAGTGAGATGTTTCCATGTCACATGGTCAGAGGGAAGCAGATTAATAGGGAGTTCTAGCTGGAAATTTCTTTCCTGTTATTGTTCTCCCTTAGCAGTTGATGGCTAAGTTAATTCTCTTTAGTTTTGTCATGGTCTAAAGCACACATTGCCAAGCAATGGTAAGCATTATGGGGGGGGGGGGGGGGGAGGGGGAAGCAGGGTGCCACAGGCTCATGCACATGAATGCCCAAAATTCTAGAAGGAATTGTGGTGCAGCCATCTTCCATGGGGAGATGCTTTCTCACTTTTCCTCTTCTCATTCTCTGTCTCTCTCTGGAGAGCACACATATCCTATAACAAATAAAATTTAGAAAAAAAAAAAAAAAGGAAGGAGAGGAGTTACCACAATAAGCTCAGTGAATATTATGAACCTATAAACTATGTTGTTTAAATAAGACACGGTGACAAGAACTGAGAGAGCTGACAGATTATTTATCTTTGTTAGGAAAATAGTGAAAATTTAATCTCTTCAGAGCCTCTGCCCACCAATTTATAGTTAAGGTTCATTTGGCAAAATGGGTTTATTTATTAGAAAATGTCCTCTTCATTCAGGATGTTTACCTCAGCCAACAACTTATCAAGTCAGAATATAGAGAACTATATTGCAATATGTGTTTTAGAATGTTTCCAAGTCTAATTTCAGAGGACAGGATATCCTACAAGCAAAGAAGACTTTCTGGTAACTTTAGTTTATAATCAAGTAAAATCTCCCCTACTCTCATCCTCATGATTGTCCTTCTAAAAATACTAAAATTCCAAGTTTCCAGGTCACTTTTTATACAAAGTTAAACATAAAAGCCACAAAATGTTTAACTGTATATATGCTGTACCATTATTCTCAAAAATATTTTTCTGGGATTGCTTTTCTTCCGTTCTTAATGTTTAGTCACCACTAAATGTTAGCTTGTTTAGCCTTGCCTATGGTTTCATACTGAAGTAATTTCAGTTTAAATAAAGTTCAAATATGCATTTTATTGCTAGTTCAAGTTTAATTAATAAAATCTAAATCTCTGAGGCATACATTAGGTAATTTGTGTGTTATTCCCTAACCCCCAACGTTTAGACCCTGCCCCACCACAATAGGTTCTGTTTCAATACAACCTTTTATATAGTTGTGTACATATTAAGGCACTAAATTTTCCAAATGTCTTAATGACTATTTCAAGATACACATACTTTCCTGACTGATGGTCAAACTTGGCTTATAATACCAGAAAAAAAAAAAAAAAAGCTTCTTAAAGCTTGACAGAGTTTCTCTTCAAAAAGTAATGTCAGTCTTGAATTTAACAGACTTAATCATCTGAAAGCCAATAAACTGATCCTGAATAATGTATTTTAGCATTTAGTAAGCTGACATAGCTATAGATCTCAAGATATATTTTCTTTCTAAATTAACCAATAAGCCAAGAATAAAAGTTTCATTTTTCTGTGAACTGAACATTAATGCATAGGTGTTATATATAACATTGTATAATGAGAATAAAGATAACAAACAATTAGCATTCAACATCAAGATTTAAAGTAATTTACATCCTAAGGGCACATGTGCTCACCACAGAGAGACAGAAAAACAGAGAGGGGAGAAGGGGAGGAAGCACCTCTCAGTGGGTGTGGTCATGCCACCGTCCCTTATGTTCCCTTTCTCCATCCTGGTTGGATTTGGGACACACATGTACACCTGCCCGTGTTTTTCAAGCTGCTGGGGCCAGATTCCAACCACAGTCAGCCATATGAGGTCCAGTTCCCTTAACTACTAGGCTATGGAGTCAGCCCCAAAACACCTATTTTTAACAATAAAATAAACAGTTTTATTTAAATATATATTCAGGTGAGTTTACAGGTCAAACACACATGGTTTTCTGAAGTTTTCAAATCACCCCACACATGTAACCAGTACTCCTATCAATGCACAGAACATAAAAAAGCCATATTTTTGACATCTTTTTATTCTTGAATCTAGAAAGATTTGATATAAAAATTTTGATGTGAATTTTGTTTTTCCATTCTCAAAATATACTTTGTACAAAGGAATTAACAAAGGCCATTATCCACGCTACCAAAAATCAGGAGTTTTCAGTGACAAAATATTGAGTTGTCAGGAAATTCATGATATATTTTCTGATTTTCTATGCAAAAATGTGTTATGACTTTCTCAATGACCCATATTTTATATAAATGTTTGAGTTTCTTTATTTTTTACTGTTAATTTTATAACGTTCCTTTTTCAAAATTACTTTATAATAATTCTTTCTTGGCACGGTTTTACTAACTGTTGAAGAATAAACATGAATTGCCTTGGTAAATCTTCCACTGTGTTTCATTTATGTATTAAACTTCCGAATGGTACAACACACCTCACAAGAGTGTTCTTTCTTTTCCTGTTGTTATGGATTCAGTGGCACACATGTCACTTCTTAGCGCGGCATCCATTGCACTTCAATGCAGTGAGATGTTTCCATGTCACATGGTCAGAGGGAAGCAGATTAATAGGGAGTTCTAGCTGGAAATTTCTTTCCTGTTATTGTTCTCCCTTAGCAGTTGATGGCTAAGTTAATTCTCTTTAGTTTTGTCATGGTCTAAAGCACACATTGCCAAGCAATGGTAAGCATTATGGGGGGGGGGGAGGAAAGGAAGCAATGGTGTCCATCAAAGTCTTAAAGTTGCATTTTTAAACTTTGGCTTGACCTGATGTGCCATTCAAAAAAGCTTCAGAAGATTATTTTTTTAAAAGAAAGGTTCAATATGTCCCGAGGCTATCGGTTTTGAGTTAAACTGGGTGAAGTAGAAATATTTTACTCATCAGCTTTGCAGTCACAGAGTTTGCCTCAGCTAGAACAAAACTGCTGAGGCATTCAGAGAAAATTAACCCCCCATCCTGGCGGCCAGATGTGACTGGTTTCTGATGAATGCACATGAGTGGGCTGAAAAATCAAGAGACTGTGAAATTCCTGTCAGGTCCGTACAGTGCAGAATGGGCTATTGACTGCTTTCTATATTTCCCTCCATCATTCTTCTTGAACACTGCCATTAATTTCCTCTCCTACTCTGACTTGTGTTTTTTCCCCTCCCTCTTCCCTTTAGTTCTGTCTGCTGCAAAGAAGGATACACACGCTGTGGCAGGAGCACTTCAGACTGGTGGTCCTCTACAGCCAGATGAGACTGGCCAGGTTCCAGACAGACTCTCAGGAGAGTGTTCAGAAAATATTAGCTGTGCAGGTAGGTGATTGCAGGGAAGTAGGAGAGATCATTCTGATCTAGATTGAAAAGCAAATGATGGGTAGTGTGATGAAGCATTAAAACCATATCCCATCAGAGTTTTATAAATTTTTAACCTCTTTAATAAACTGGAATTGCATGAAGGATGAATTCAGTAAGTTAGCACATATACCACGCATACTTTGGGGGAAAAAGGAGATTCAACTTATTTCTCGCAAACCTCAGAGCAGATTTTAATAAATACATTTGGTAAAAATATTTTTTTTCAGATCTTCAGACTTTGCACAAGCTGTTCAGCTGTTTAAAAGATATTGACAACAGTTACCTCGTGCTCGTGCTGCTTTTGTGCAAAACCTACTTCAGTGAAAATAACCCTCTTCTGTTTATTTTATTTGATGAGTTTTCTTCTTCCTATTGTGCAAGATGCTCATCTTCCTTTGCAGATCTGGAGATGATTTTTTTTGAGATATAGGCAACTTGTGGTTCTAGACACATATGATGCATTTATTTCTGTAAAAATATTACTGGATCAGCTACCTTTATTTTAGGCATCTGATTTAATTTAGAAACCCATATTAACCAGGTGAAGATCATTATTTGAATTTTACTCCAATTGTCTTCTCAATTTAATATTTTACTATTTTAAATGTTGTAAAATGCATAAAACGTGACTTCCCAAAGGAAAACATATACCACTTTGTTCTATTTAGAAAAAAAAATAGAATACCTGTATTATGAAAAGTGAAAACAATAGCACACGCTCTTTAAAACCACAATTTTTAGCAACTTACAGCACAATCGATGCTGAACCCCAAGCCAAATTATTTTCTAAACATTTTAATTACACATGCATTTTATGATGTTCTTACCACAAAGAAAAAATTTTGCAAAACATTCTAAAGCTATTAAGTTAGTCAAAATTTTATTTTCCCTGGTTATTTTTAATATTTTTTTCTGATTGTGTGTATGTGTGCATGTGTGTATGCTTTATATGGGTCCCACTGATAAAAGATTATAAAAAGTTAAAAATAAGAGGAAACTAAAGGAAGGTTTTGAAAAGTAAGCACTTAACACAAAGGTTTAATAGAAATTTATGTAAAACCACAGCTACATTAGGTTAGAAGTCAAGGGCATATTGTTTTCCTTAAAAATACTTTCAACATACAGCACATTAAGAATTATAGAATGGCTATAATCTACAATTTCTTTTTAAATATTCAACAGTAATCTACATGTTCTAATCAGTGACTTAGGAAAAAATCCTGTATTTCTTCTCAAATAGAAATGTTCTTTAAAATTTTACAAGTGATAAATTTTCATTGTGTATTATGTATTTTCAAATATGGAAAATGTCAGTAGAAACATTTGAGTTGGTATAGTGAATTTTTAATTTGTAACCTTTAATAAATTGTATTCTAACTTTTTATTAGCCACTCAATTACATGTGCTTTACCAAACTTGACTGTAAACTACTTGTTTTTATGGCAGTCACCTAACAATGTCAATAACGGTATAGAATATAGAGGTGGGAAGCTCACTTAGTCAGTATCCAGAAGCAGCACAGCAAGCTTGGAAAATACAAAGGGATTTCAAAACATTTGTGGGAAATAGGATTAAAGGATGAATTTATTGTGATTCAAAACAAAAATTTGAATTTCATGCATAGTTGTTTCATCAAATGCGTTTTTTTTTTTAAGCGGTTTTTGCTATAGGGCGCATGCATTCACCAGACAGACAGAGAGAGACAGAGAGACAGAAAGCGAGAAATCACCCCCCAGGGGGGATGGCCAAGCCGCAATCCCTTCTCCTCCATTCTCCTCTTGGGATCTTGGGCATGCACGCACATGCGCCGGATGTGAGTTTAAGCCAATGGGTCCGGGACTCGAACCACAGTCAGCTACGTGGGAGTCCAGTGACATAGCCATTACGCTAACTGCTGGTCCCATCAAATGCGTTTTTTCATGGAATGATAAGACCCCTTATATTTAGAGAACTTGAAGAGCATAAATTAGTGGCTTCTTCCCTCCTCCCCCACTGAAGATGCTTTCAATTTGTAATGTCTCAATTTGGATTTCAATAAAAATATGAAAATACAACTTTTCAGATCTTGCCACAAAACCGTGGAAACATGCACAACCCTCTGGGAAAAAAAATAAATTCAGAAGTCTAATTTTTTTTTATTTTTAATGTAATATTAATCTGATTCTATAACATATTAGTAAACTATGATAAAATTATTTGATAAATCTCATGAAAAATAAATTGTATATTACTAATACTAAGTAAAAGCAGCTTAAAATAAATGTTAAATAAGAATAGGAAACTTTTTTTCATTCTTGGACTTGGAGAGAATGATTGACAAGGCTGTAGTGACAGGAAACCAGAGTGTCCAGATAAGTTTGCAAATTACATCATCAAACAAAAACTAGTAAGATGAACAAAAACTGGAATGAAGAATTAGTATTTTTTGACTTTGAAGTCATTTATATATGAAAAAGAAATTTTAATCGACTACAAGTTTTTATATGAGCCAAAGTAAAGTACTACACATTTAGAACCAAAGAACCATTTATGTCCTAGCTCTAGCAATCACCTAAGACTTCTTGACTGACCATGTATAGAACATCTTTTATAAGGTCCTAACCTCATGTCTGAATCCATATCAAGTACTTTTATTTCATTTTCCCATCATTACTTTTTTATTTTATTTATTTATTTGTCTATTTAATCCCATGGTATTATAATACTTTCTGGCTTCTTACTTAGAAGAAAGACTAAGCATCAATGAATCATTCAAATGAGAGAGAGATCCAGTTACAACACATTAATGTGATACTAGATTAAGTAATCAGGAGTATATTTGCCTGGAAGGAGATGATATTTCCTATTGCACTTGTTCCTAAGTTGTATGCATCTGCAGAATTTTAGACAGGTTTGGAAAACACAGTGTAAAGGCTGTGTTGATTCACTTGGAGACCAGTATCTAAGGAAGATCAGAGAGAGGGAGGAAAAAAATTGGAATGTAGGCCACCTATGGCTGGATCCCACATGGCAACCATGTGATTTGAGTTTCTTGACTTGGTGGCTTTAAAAAACATGCTGGGCATTTGTGCATGCATGACCAAAATCTTCTAAGGAGAGAGAAATGAAGAAAGGGTTGCAGCATGATCATGCTCTTTGGGAGGTCGTTTCTTGTTTTCCCTCTCTTTCTTTGTATGAGCAAACACATGTGCCCGCTAGGAGAAGAAGGAAAGGAAGAAGGGGCAAAGGATGTAAGGGAGGGAAGGAGGAAGGGGGGAAGAGAGGAAGAAATTTTTGAATGCTCACCTGCAAAAGAAAAAGGTTTTGGACAAATAAACATCTGAAGGACACTATGTGAAGGTTAGTATGAGCTAACACTGGAAACAAATGATGAAAGGGGCTGAAATATGGGTTTGGATTCAACTGGAATAAATTTTCTAACAAGTCACACTGTCCACGTTTGTACTGCTGGTGCTCAGCAGAAGTTAGATAAACATAGGCCAGGACCATTAGAGAAGAAGGTGTTGTAGTGATCTTATGGAAAGAAAATGGTCTGAGAATCAGCCTGAAGGATACCTTCTTGGGATTGTGAACCTTCTGGAAGCTTCCCGTAACCTCTTTGCACAAACATCTAAGCATATATCTACATCTCCTAACAAGGATGTGAGCCTTTCTAACTTGGAAAGCAAGTCTTATTTCTTCATCTTCGTCTCCTTGGCACCAACAGCAGTTCTTGAAACATACTACATTTTATTGAGTTAGTGAGTTGATTTATTAAGATTGAGTGTGATAACCTCAAAGGTTCTTTCCAGCTCTAGGTGCCTGCAAGTCTGCCAACTAATAAGGAAAAGCATTTACTAGGTGCTTTGCCAGGAATTTTGATGGCACAGAGGTAATATGTTTACTCATTTAACACATACACATATACATATATAAATATATATAGGCTTAGTACAGTCTTACTTTCTGGACAGGGATGTGCAAAAGAAAAGGATAAAAAAAAAAGACAACAGCAACAAGAAAATACAGGACAACAATCTAAAACCCTAGTTATGTTACAGAAAGAAAAATCTCTGAATATATGTGACCACTTGAAAGACAAAAGAAAGTATAAACAACACATGCCTTTTAGACCATATGTATGTAATATATTATGCTTGAGGAATTAATACTGAGTTGCTAAATCTCACTAGCTCACTCTAGACAGTAATAGTACAGTCATTTAAATAGAATTGCCAATAACAAGAATATTTACTAGACATCTATAAATAAGAAATTTCACTCAAAGACTATTAGAGAAAAATAAAAGTATCACGAAAAATTGAATAATTCAAAATGCAAGAAGAAGGACAAGAGCACTTAAATGTAAAAAATAAAAACAATCAGTAAGCATAATAACTATAAATGGCTTTATGATACAGCTCAAAGTTACAGATTTACAAGCTGTAAAAGCAAAATTCAAGTTATTTAGATGTGAAGCATCTCAGGCAAATAGAACTGTTTAAAGGGCTTGGAAAGTAAAAATAAAAGGGTCTAATTAAGAAAAGAGAAACTTCAGGACCAGCAGTTGGCATAATGGCTATGTTGCAGGACTCCCATGTAGTCAATCACAGTTCAAGTCCCAGACCCAGTGGCTTAAACTCACACCGGGCATGTGCATGTGTGCCCAAGATCCCGAGGAGAATGAAGGAGAAGGGATTGCAGCATGGCCATCCCCCTTGGGGGGTGATTTTTCACTTTCTGTCTCTCTGTCTCTTTCTGGTGAGTGCATGCACCCTATACCAAAAACCTCTCCATAAAAACAAAATAATAATAAAAAAAATTTAAAAAGGAAGGAAGAAAGAAAAGAGAGACTTCAAGGAAAAAAAAAAACTGAAACAGTTGAATTTGGGTATCTTATATTGATACAAGATATAATCTATTAAGACATACAATCGTGAACCTAAGGCACACAACAGCATAACTTCGGAATATATAAA